GTCCCACTCCCCAGGGGCCAGCAGGGCTTGGGGAGGAGAGCGCCTGCCACGGGCCTCGCCCTGGGGAGCGCTGTCGATGGGAACAGCGGTCACCAGCAGGAGAGGCCCGCGCCTCGTGAGCGCGCACCGGAAGCGCGCACCCGACTGGCCGCGGAGCGCGCAGGCTGCCCCCGGGTCCAGCAGCTGCTTTGGTCCCTCTCTGTGCGCCCGGGTTCCCGCAGCCCCTGTCGCTGTCCCCGCGCCCGGGTCCCGGCTCTCCAGGACCCCGCGGCCCCTGACCCCGTCCCCAAACCCGGTCGCCTGAGCTTGAGCTCATGGAGCAGCTGCTGCGCACCGAGCTGCGCACCACGACCCTGCGGGCCTTCGGGAGCCCTGGGGCGGGCTACATCAGCGAGGGCCGCGCCTACGACACGGACTCCGGGCCCGTGTTCGTCAAGGTCAACGGCAGGACGCAGGTGTGCGGCGCGACCTGGGGCCGGGGAGAGGGAGAGGAGAGGGGGAGGGGCGTCGCCGGGGGGGGGGCGGGGGCCGCACGCGCCAGGCGAGCGTCCTTTTGGGGCCGGAGGTTCTGGCTGCTCAAGCAGTGTCCTTCCCTGCATCCCACCACTTTTGTTTCTGTTTTTGTTTTTTTGGTACTGGTGATTGAACTTAGGACCTTGGCACGGATTTCCAGCCGATTTTATTTTAAAGACAGGGCCTCACTAAGTCGCTAAAGTGACCAGGATGGGTTCAAACTTTTCATCTTCCTGCCTCTGACTCCCAGAATGCTAGGATTACAGTGTCCACTGCCACGCTGGTGGGGTGTTTTCATTTTTTTGGTACCGAGGATTGAACTCAGGACCTTGCGCTTGTGAGGCAGGCGGCGGAACCACTGAGCTAAATCCCTGGCCCGGGATGTTTTCATTTTTGTACACGGGTAGAGGTGAGGTCCTGGGCTGCTTCTGCACCTCGCTGGGCTCAGAGTCTACGTGGGCAAAGCAGGTCCTGTGGCCTGTGGGTAGAGGGCCCAGTTCAGATGCGCAGTAGTCCGGCAGCGTGGGGGCGGGGGGCTGCTGGCCGTCGGGGAGAAAAGCCCAGAGTGTTACCAACCTTGGCTGTAGGACACTTCTGGTACCAGTGGGCTTTGTTTTTACCAATTCATCCTGCTGTAGTTGAGATGGAAATCATGAATAGGCAAGAAGATGCCACCCAGAGGAGCCTTTATTAGGACTTAAGGGACTGACCTGAGCAGTGGATGTAGGAGAAAAAGACAGGCTTTCTGTTTAGCTGTGGTAGGGGAGGGTCTTCTCAGGGACTAGGTGAGGATGTAGAGTTATCTAGAGACACTGCATGGTGGAGTCATCTAGGATGGACCTGTGACCAAAGCCTGTCGCAGCCAACGCAGATGCCTCCTGGAGCAGCCGTGCGTGCAGCCTCTGATGTGGCCAGGCTGGCTGTGAGGCGTTTAGGGCAGCCTTGGAAGAAAGAAGAAATAAAAAGTCCCCCTTGGGGAGCATCAGGTCCTTCTCTTATGTCTCAGGAAGGTCCTGAGTCCCCACAGGGGCTTTGCGGGGAGAGGCCTGTGTGTCTCCTTTCCAGCTCTCTGGCCTGGCCTAGCAGACTTCTCAGCCCAGCCTTCCCTAACCAGAACTTACGCCCCATTACTTCTAGCATGCCCTGGCCACCCCACCAGGGGCCAGCGGGGAAGGTGGGCACCCTGGTTAGCTGCTCCTGGAACCCCTGTGGCCTGGCCTTTCACCTCCGTAGCACAAGCCCCTCAAACCCAGGGCCTCCTTTCTTCCCCAGGGGCCGAGGCCTCGCTGGCTCTCAGCTCCTGAAGGTCCAGGGCTTGTGATGCCCATGTGGCAGCTTCTGTCAAGGGCCACACGGGCCTCAGCTTGGCTGGCAGGGCCCCCTGCTGGAGTGGGAGTTTACAGAGCCTCTGCTCATTCACAGCAGTGTTTTGGGTGCAGGCCCGGCTGATGTTCGAGGGGGAGGTGGCCAGCTTGGAGGCTCTGCGCGCCACAGGCCTGGTGCACGTGCCTCGGCCCATGAAGGTGATTGATCTGCCGGGAGGCGGGGCCGCCTTTGTGATGGAGCATTTGAAGATGAAGAGTTTGAGCAGGTGAGTGTGAGAGAGCAAAGACCACACACGCGTGCGCACATGGAGAGACACACACGGGGCACATGTATGTCCCACAGACACAGCTATAGAGGGCCACGTACAGGGAGGGGACACACGTGTACACAAGGCACATGCAAAGGGAGATAGTCTGAGGCAAGGGAGGAAAGAGGCGGAGGGAGGGACAGAGAGAGGGAGAGAGGCAGGGAAACGGACGCGCAGGGGAGTGGCCCTTGCTGAGCTGCGCGTGTAACAGCCCTAACAGCCCTTTGCTCCCAGATGCCACCGGCTTCCTTCCCCGGGCGATGCTGGGGTGACTTGCCGTGCGTGCCAACAGAGGGCGCTGTGTGTGCGCTGCAGCACGTGAGCCATACTTTCCCAGCCCCGTTTTGTCTTTATTTTGAGACGGGGTCTAAGGTGCTCAGGCTGGGCTTGAACTTGCAGTCCTCTTGCCTCGGCCTTCTCATAGCTGGCATGACAGGTGTGTGCCCCCTGGTCCAGCCCCAGAGACCATCCTTCCCACTCCCCTGGTACCGGGAATTGAACTCAGGACCTTGCGCTTGCCAGGCAGGTGCCATGCCACTGAGCTACATCCCTGGCCTGGAGACCATTCTTAATGGAGACAGCACTTACTGCTTTGGTTTGGCTGATGTGAAATACAACTATGGGAAGTATGGGAAGTGCAGACTTGCACAGAGATGTCATCCCGCCTCCCAATTCGTCAGCAAGGAGCAGCCCCTGAGTTGTCATTTTGTTTTGCTGCTCATGGTTTACATTTGTTTGTGGAGTGGGGAGCTGGTCCGCCCTGCCAGGCTGTGCCAGGTCCCCACCAAGCCCTCTGCAGAGACCCTCCTGCTGCTCCTTGTCTGGTTTCATGACTTTTTTTTTTTGGTGCCAGGGATCGAACGCGGGATCCTGCGCTTGCGAGGCAGGCAGTGGAAACACTGGGCTAAATCCCTGGCCCAGGACTTTGTTCTTTTGAAAGGGTCCTTGTCCAGGTGTTCATTTTCCACTTTTTGAAGAATGGAGAGTAGCTTGGAAGATCTTTAAAACAGAATCCCTGGGTGCTGATTTGTTTGTAGTTTTAATTGGCTGCATTTCTTCTGTCCTCAGTCACGCGTCAAAGCTCGGGGAGCAGATGGCAGATTTGCACCTTTACAACCAGAAGCTCAGAGAGAAGCTGAAGGAGGAGGAGAACACCGTGGGTGGGTTCAGATTGTCCTGTCCCGGACAGCCCCGCCAGCTCCCCTGACCTGAGCCTGTGCTCTTCTTGGTAGCATTTCAACCCTAGGTCCAGTCGCACCCCACCCCCATACCGTGTTATGGAAATGAGATCTTTAAGTGAGAATTCGGATGGAGCTGCTAAACCAGTGGGCTTGGCTCTCCATGCTTCACCCCTGTCCTTCTGTCCCCCTGCTCCAGGCAGCACCCCACAGGTCCATCCTCCGGCTCATCACAGCCACAGGCAGGTCACCCTCAGGCCGCTGTGTCCGAGAGCTTCCCGGCCCGCACTGGTGCTCTGTGAGGTCTGGCATCCTGGAGGGTGCAAGCAGCGCTCAGGGTGACATCTCTTTGACAGGCCACAGGGCGGAGGGTGCTGGGCCCCAGTACATGAGTAAGTTCGGCTTCCACGTGGTGACGTGCTACGGCTTCATCCAGCAGGTGAGTGCCATGTGAGGATGTCCCCGCTTAGCTGGTGACTGGTTCCTGGTGCCCTGTACTGGAAGCTTGGCCACGGGGTTTCCGCACGCAGACGCGGATGTGGACTGCGACCCTGGGGCAGGAGTTGGGGGTCCGCTGACCCGAGCTTGGAGGGAGTGGGGAGAGGTGTGGCTGGGAGGAGTGGCCTTGGGGGCAGGGGATGGTGTTCCTGGCAGGGAGCCCCGTGGTGCTCCCAAAGGTCGACTGATGTTCCCTGGTGTGGATGGACCACACTCTGTTCATCCATTTACTGTTTTGGCTGTATAACACTAGGGCCCCTGGAATCACTGTCTTTGAAGGCTACCAAGATCTAAAGAAGACTTATCTCCCTGGATCGCCCATTTGCCCTAAGCTGACCTCAAAGAAGCTGTTGTTAGAACCTATTTCGGTTTATTAGGGACAGAGTGCCTATCCTATTTATTTATGTATCCTGTTTAAACTGGGTGTGGTGGCACACCCCTGGAATCCTAGCACTCTGGAGGCTGAGGCAGGAGGATCACAACAAATTTGAAGCCAGCCTGGGCTACGTAGTGAGTTCAAGGACAGCCTGAACTGCACAGTGGGACCCTGTCTCAAAAAAATTGAGAACTGAAATCTTATGCAGAACCTCCGGTGTGGAGCAGATGAGAGCTGCGGTCTGAGCACCAGCTCAGATCAGCAGTGGCATGGCCAGGAGGGGCCCAGGGCCCCTGTTCACCTGCTTTGAGCCACAAGATTGTCCTGCATGTCCCAGGTTCTGAGCTTCCTGCTACCTGGGAGCTCGAGGAGTCCTGGGGGGCACTGCAGCCATCGGTGGCCATGATGAAGCGAGGGTTTCTGAGACGCGTAGAGCACTGAGCCCTGCGGGGACTTCCAACATGTTTGGCTGTGACAAATGACACATTTTGTGCCCTACTGATACGAGCACCATTCCAAGGATTTTGTGTGGCCTGGCTCACCACTGGCCACAGCTAGCAAGGACACAGGCGATTTCATGCATCCGCTTTACAGTTGAGGGAATGATGCCCAGGGCCACCCCTGACTGTGCAGCTGGAAAGTGGAGGACCAGGTTGGGACCCTGGTCAGCGTCACAGCATGGGCCATCACCCTTGTACCACCCTGCCCCGCGGTCAGGGTGAGGCCAGGTGGCAGCTGCCCGTGGAAGCTCAGGGGCCGGCTGCAGCTCTCTGTGTGGGGTGACCACGGCTCCTCTGTAGAGGCAGAGGGACTGGGCTTGCTGGTGCCGACCTCCTGCTCCCAGCATGGAGGCTGTGTCTTTCACGACCTGTTCTGTCCAGCAGGAGGGTGGAGCTTGGGCACTGGGAGCCCAGGCAGGCAGACAGGGACGAGGGGACATCGCAGGGGTGGATCCAGTTTGGGGGTCTCACTGTCAGGCTGTGCTGAGCGCCCTCATCCTGTTCTCAAGGTACACAGGGCACCAGGGCTGAGTCCAGGGCCAAGTGACTGCCGTGCCCAGACCCAGGGGCCTCCGAGGGAGGAACCTGACAGGGGCTGCCCACTGGGGGCGGCGTGCTCTTCAAAGTCCCTCCTGGGGTTTCCCAGGGTGAGTGTGCACAGCATCAGCTTGTGTCCTCTGTGGAGGTGTAGCCGGCACAAACCGCACCACGAGCTGCTGAGCTGCAGTCCAGATAACCAGTGCACGGCGCTGTGCCTGCTGGGCGCCTCCCTTTCCCTCCCATCCTCTCCTAGTGTGTCGCCACAGCTTGCGTTTTACGGAATTCAGTACAGGGGCAGACAACGGTGCGTGCTGCTGTCTGGCTCCTTTCACTCAGCATAACCATTCCGAAACTCATCCATGTTGAAAAGTCTGTGCTCATGCTTCGGGCGCTGCCTGAGCCAGAGTCCACTATGGTCTGGATGCAGCAATTTGCTTATTATTCACGTGCTGGTGGACATCTGGGTGATTTCTGGTTTTTGATTTTTATAAATAGAGCTGCTGTGGCTAGGTGTTGTGGCATGCGGCTGTAATCCTAGGACTCTGGGAGGCTGAGGCAGGAGGATTGCTATGAGTTCGAAGCCAGCCTGGGTGACCTAGTGAGTTCAGGGCCAGCCTGGACTGCAGAGTGAGACCCTGTCTCAAAAAACCAAAACCAGGGCTGAGGGGTTTAGCTCAGTGGTTCCGCCGCCTGCCTTGCAAGGGCAAGGTCCTGCGTTCAATCCCCGGTATGAAAAAAACAAAAACAAAAACAAAACCATAAACCAAAAAACAAAAGCTGCTGTGAACCTGTGTGCACCTGTCTTTGTGGGAACAAGTGCTTCCCTTTATCTTGGAAATAACCAGGAATGAGGAGACAGGGTCTGTGGTAAGTTCCTGTGTAAGTTTTAAGGGCCGCCAGTCTCCCGAGTGGTTGCTCAGCTGCATCCCAGCAGAAGCATGCGTGCTCCAGGTCCTGCCCGTCCTCAATCACACTTGGTATTTTTCTGTTTTCTCTTTTTCTTTCCTTCCTTCCTCTCTCCCTCCTTACTACTTTTCTTTTCCAGTACCGGGGACTGAACTCAGGGTTTTCATACTAAGCTACATCTCCAGCCCATTTAAAAAAATTCTTAAACCGGGTTTTGCTAAGTTTCCTAGGCTGGGTCAAAGTTGTGCTCCCCCTGCCTCAGCCTCCCAGAGTGCTGGGATTACAGGCATGTGCTTCTATGCCTTGTTTGTTTTGTTATTTTTTTTTTCAGTACGAGGGATCGAACTCGGGTCCTTCTGCTTGCGAGGCAGGAGGCAGAACCACTGGGCTAAATCTCCAGCCCCTTGTTATTTTTAAATTGTAGCCAACCTACCCAGTATGAAGTTGTATCTCACTGTGGTACTGTGGTTTTTTGTTTGCTTCCATGATGACTAAAGGTCTGGAGCATCCATTCATGTGTGTATTTGCACATGTGTGTATATCTGCTCCAGTGAATTTTACGTTCAAGTACGTCATCCATTGTGTGAAGTTTTGTATTTATTCTTGAGTTTTGAGAGTTTATATTTTGGTTGTAAGTTCTTTACCAGAGATATGATTTGCAGATATTTCTCCTAGTTTGTTTTTCTCTTGACAGTGCCTTTAAAGATAAGAAGTTTAAATTTTGATGAAGGCCAATTCATTGATTTTTCTTTTATGAATTGTGTTTTAGAATTATAGCTAAGAAATCTTTGTCTAAGCTAAGATCATAAAGATTTCCTCCTTTTAGAGGTTTTACAGTATGGGATTTTGTAGTTTGGTCTATAATCCATCTTAAGTTAATGCTTGTGTATGATTCATGGAATTGATTGAAATTCTATTTTTAATTGTTGTGGGAGACCAGAGGAGAATAGAGGCCTAATTGGCTTCCTCTGCGAGCACAAAGGAAAAAGGCTGTACTCGGTGATTGCATATCCAGGGAAAATTTAAAATAGCTGAGGTTAAGTTGTTTACCTGACCATGTACTAATGGATATTGAAAAGCAGGGCTGTGGCCAGGGATTTAGCTCAATGGTTTCACCGCCTGCTGTGCAAGTGTGAGGACCTGAGTTCGATCCCCAGTACCAAAAAAAAAGAAAGAAAAGCAGATGAAACTAGTGTTACTTTGATTGCTTGTACCTGTGTTTGGGTGAATAAAGGCAACACGAGCCAGACAGGGAGGGTGGGGCGTGTCCTCTGCTATTAGAGGCAAGAGGCCCCTGGGTGTCCGGAAGTTAATTAATCCTCTTTTGCCTCCAGGTCAGGGAGAACAAAGGAGCTAGGTGAGGTCCTAGAGCAGAGCTGGCTGGCTGAGGTCTGGTACAGGTGGCTTGGGACCTGGGCTCGCCTACAACTTGTGGATAGCCAACTGGTTTAGTGGGATTAATTGGAAAAATCATGCCCGCCTCACTAAACTGCCTTTGCATCTTTGGTGAAAAGCAATTTAGTATACACTTGGAGATCTGTTCTTGTGCTGTGTTCTGTTGATCCATTTGTCTGTCTTGACCGCTGCAGCTTTATAGTAAGTCTTGACGTTTGTTTTATCAAAATTGTTTTTAACAATTTTGTCTAGGGCCTTTCCATTTCTACATGGATTTCCATTTCCGTATGAGTTCCTATGTCAGCGTCCTTTTTTTGAAGTACTGGGGATCAAACTCAGGACCTTGCGGTTGCGAGGCAGGGGTGGTACCACGGAGGCAAATCCCTGGCCCCTGTGTCAATTTGTT